CTACTACTACTACTACTACTACTACTACTACTACTACTACTACTACTACTACTACTACTACTACTACTACTACTACTACGATGAACAACAACAACAACAACAATAAAATAATAATAATAATAATAATAACAACAACAACAACAAACAGAAACAACAACAACAAACAAAAACAACAAAAGCAAGTAAAAACGATTAGCAACACGCAAAGCGTTCTAGCGTAAGGTACGAGTACTAATCAACGTAAAGAGAGGTTCTCTTACTTTAAAAGAACAATTTTTGCCCTCAAGTTCTGCTCCCCCAAGCACAGGCAATAGAAAGTCAAGTTAACGATGTTCCTTCAAAATAAATGTATTAAGTGTCGTAAGCGTTCAATCAAGATTTTCTGAAAAAAGGTTAGTAGTTCATTAATTTAGGTTCGTTTCATAATATAGGGTAATATACACGTATAGGCAATTAAGAGCGCCTAATATCGAGACCACACATGTATCCAATACAATTATGACTATACAAAATCTTTTGTGTTTTGGTGAGTGTTTTTCGGCGCTCGCAACTACCTAAGCTCATATGAGCGTGTGGGACGTATCAAACATTTTCAGTTCGGTAGGAATTAAAGTTGAATTTTTTCCCCCGAGTGTAGCCGAACCGTACTCTTATCGATTTTGGACCACCAAGAGCTTTTCAACGCACACAATTAGCACACGGGACCTCCGAGATTTTTCGCCCTTGTCCGAGGAGGCTAGGCGTTAGATCTTATCTATCCTTTAATCAGGGGTGTGGCTGAAAGACAGCAGAAAGAAAGAGTGAAGGAGAAGCAGTAGAAAGATTGCAGAAAGACTCAAGAACCCAGAGGAGAAGCAAAAAAGAGGGATGGGGGCAAACAATGGAAACGAAAGAAGACAACAGAACATGGTTAGAGAGCAAGGAAGGAGATGAAAGGAGAACATTTTAGAGAAGAACATGTTCGTCGCTGTCTGATTTCGAACCCGGGGTCTATAGAATGAGAGGCGAAAACCTAACCTCTAGACCATGAGAGTCCCCTATACATGTAATACCTTTGCACGAATATTATTTGAAATATTATAATATACATATGTACATAGATATATTATAATGCTAATATCGTTTTATGGTCAAAGAAATAAACAAGGTGTTACTGAACACAACCTGAGAATCCAGCCCGTCAAAGAACTTCCCTTTTCTCTCTCCGAACTCTTAGGTGGAGACCACTATATAACATACATTGCGCGCGTGCGCTGTGTGTGTGTGTGTGTGTGTGTGTGTGTGTGTATGTGTGTATGTGTGCGTGTGTGTGTGTGTGTGTGTGTGTGTGTGTGTGTGTGTGTGTGTGTGTGTGCATGTGTATAAGTGCGTGTGTGTGTGTGTGTGCATGTGTATGTATGCGGATGGGGGTGGGAGGAGAGGGGCGCTCGCATGTATGTATGTGTTGATGCCCATGTGTGGGCTATGTATTTTCCCTCGAGGACATGCATATTCTTTTTATGAGCGGGTGGTTGAATGGCACCACTGGTAGGATTTTCTTCTTTACTTTTGCCTCTGTTGTTTCTGTCTATCTGTTTTACCTTTTCCCATCACTAAATGAACATTATTGTGTCGATGTGCTCCCCCTCTCTCCCCGAAAACAAAACGCACAACTTAACAAAAATTACAATACAAATAGATCTAAACAGAAAAGCCCCTGGGAATGTTATGGAAGCGTTCCAGGGGTGAGCCATGCTTTTGGTTCAGTTAACATGTCACGTGAACCCTACATATGAAAAAATGTTTAATTTACAAAGTGTTTAATTTTCTTGTTAACCCTTTCACTGCCTAGTCCGAGACTGTTTCGAGCTCTGTGGTTGAGCTGTTGGTATAATTTGCCGTCTCATATACCCATACGGGAAGCAAATAAACCCATTACACTCTGTATTGTTTTCTAACACATCCCCCCCCCCCCCACAACCACCATACCACTCCCCACACTCTAGGTATTTGCTTTCTGATTTTTTCTCTTTTTTTGCCGTCGGTAAATCTTTAAGTATTCGAAACTTAAGCCTACTCTTTATACATATTTCAGGCAATGAACTCCCCCATGATGCCTCAAACAGAAAGACCTCGTCAGTAGTTTACCACAGGCATGCCCTGGACTTGGGTATCTGTCCACGAATGGTACGTCACACGACGGACCTACGTATGCTGGACTGGAAACGGTACGGCTGGGACAAAGCTGGTCTCGAACCCAGGCAGAGGATCAGGGGATGGGCGGGATTTTTTAAAAACAACAAGAGGGAGTCGGAGACACGACCCTGTAGAAAGACGAAACGCACCTCCTGCAGTTTGTACACTCTTGAGGAAGAACGTATACCTCTGACATCGAGATCACTTCCACCGCTACCAACAAACGGACTGGGTGAACCAATGTTGAGGAGGCCGACAGTTATCCCTCCTCACCCCGTCACCGAAGGTGGGGAGATTTTCAAAATGATCACCAAAGGGCGTGAGCTCAAACCGTTCTCTTTCGAAGATGACCCTGCTAAAGCGAATAAATTCTACGACACGCACTTTCCTCTGTTGTGCAAGAAGCTACGTCAAGGCTCACTTCCGGGATCTGCGCGCGCAGTGACACAGCTTGACGTTGATCCGGCTCGAGTTAGCAGTGCTGAGAGGCGGACTCGAGATCTTCTAGATAGGATGTCGGACGCTGAACGTCTTCTAGCCGAGATTGAGTGCGATTCGGATAGTTCAGAAGCGATGGTCACCGAATTGAGAGATGTGACCTTTGACCCTACTTCATGGTCGTGGAACAAGGAAAGGTACGCAGTTCCCGACGGTTACACCGTCAATACCAGGCCTTCTAAACCCAACGCTGGGATAAAAGTGAACAGAAATTAGGACAAGTGATGAACGCTTTCCTTCAGATACGTTACATTTGCACTAGTTCGCATTAGGCTTACTACTAAAAGCCGGAACGATTGGGCCATATTGCAAACTACAGTAATATAACAGGCCCACGGATGTCATGTTTGCGGATAGTTTTCCTCAAATGTATTTCAATTATATTGTCTTTAATGCAACAGCGTTGTGCGTCATAATTTTCATACAAATATTTCTCGTTGAGGTCAACAGAGCGCTGATTTATCTTTGTCTCGCTCAGTTTACGAATATAATTCTACGGCTCCGAATTCAGCTTTGCACACCCTTCACACCCGAGGAGCAAATCGTGATGTTGACTAGAGAATTTAAAAAAAAGATATGAGGGGTAAATGGGCGAACAGACTGAACAATGTTCGGGTTGTGAAGTCGAGGAACGTCATAAAGTTGTAACGAGCAACTTGTGATTTCTCAGTGCGGTTCAATATCCAGTGACGTGGAGACACCATTTTGACCTTTATAACACTCACCTCGAGGAATATGTATTAGGCAGAAATATCAAGGGAGGGTAGGGCTACCTGGCAGCTAAGCCCTTGCAGGGTTGGTGGTGATGGCGTCTTAGCGTAGAGGACCTATGACACTTGCCTCCAATCCTAAAGGTCCACTAGAGTCCGACTAGAGTCCTTCCGGGAGATTTCAGACATCTCAGATACTCACCTTTACTTCCACCTTTTTTTATCCTCTGTTGTCAATAAGCGTCGAGGGGAAATGCAGTTTTCTATGGTATGCCAGCTCTGCAGCTCTGTCAGTTTGGATTTTAATATGATTTCTCAGGGTTTCTTTGACGCCCCCAATCTATCTTTTGCGTGGCCTTCCTTTTTCCTTTAGAAACTTCTCTGATACTTTCTCAAATCCAACTGGGACGGACACTACATCGGAGAAGCAACATAATAAGTGTAATTAGTATTCTTTTTAGAATGAGAGGATAGGGGAGGTACGGGAGAGAGTTGCCAGAAGCAGCCAGCACTCCGTGAGTTCACACGGTGAACGCATAGAAGGGTTTATCTTGTCTGTAGTGACAGGCAAAAAAAGGGGGGGGGGAGTCTCCTTTTTATGTAAGTGTTTTTACGCCACCATTGACACAATTTAGATCATTTAAGGGAGCGGGCTTCCATCCCCCGCCTGTCAGGGCCAACCTGGGCTGAGAGGGATACAACATCCCAGCAGAAAGACCGAGATTTAAAAAAATAAAAATTCTCCCTACTTGGGAATAGAACTCCGGTCTCCTGCGCGCGAAGGCGAAGCACCTAACCACTACGCAGTTGGCGCCTGCGGGATATCTCAACTCTTTGAAATGTTTAGTATACTTAGGTCAATATGCGTCTTTCCAGCTTCTCAAATTGAAGTTTGCATGTTCACTTACAACATACCTGGTTCATACTTAAGGAAACGACGACGACCATGACTCACAGTATGACCATACGGACAATTTATTGTATTCACATTAAGTGATAGGATTTCCAATAAATAAGATACAAGTACATGTATTGCATTTCTTGGTGTTTTTCTATTTGTTTAAGTAAGACAACAAAAAGTACTATTTACACATCGAATTGATTCATCAACACAAAGAGAAAAGAGATTCATGAGCTATTTGAATACCCCCTCCCGACCCCACCCATCTCTTGCCCCCACCCCCCCTCCCGTCCAGTTCTCTTCTCGTCTCTCTAGTTCCAGTATATCTGTCTGTCTTTTTGTCACTTTGCCTGTCCATCTCCCTCTTCC